TAAAATGTATGGCTACGTTACATCAAATGGCCAAAATCTAGCGACAAAACTCTTCCACGAGTTTCAAAACGACGATATCGCTTTGATTTCTAGTCTATCAATGAAGATTTTGGACGAGATTACACAACAAAACACATTTGTCGATTTGAAACGCTCTTTCACCAGACGGCGCAACTTGTGGGAATGGTGCCTTGAAGTTCATAACTATAGCAATGTTCCTGTAACCCACCTTTTTAAAGAATTTCAAACAGAAAACAATTCCAGTACCCAAAATGTATCAACCCTTATCAGGTGCAATGGGATGAATCCTTTTTTTTTTTGGGGGGGGGGGGGCGTTTCCTGTGTAGATGTCCTGTACTAGGAGTAGCATGTGCTGGTAACGTGCAACCCGTTCATAGTTCATGTTATACACCAGTGAAATACACCCGAAATGCGTTCTTAAACGTACCGGGTTGTTGCAGCTTTGTGTTTGAAAATTGTTGCCGCTTTGCTGCGATAATAAAGTTTCTGTTTGTCCCGGACTATATCCGCCAATCAGGTAGACGCCTGTATCATGTCATTCCCGATCAGTTTAACCATTTGTATAATAAATTAATGGATACAGTACCACTTTTGATGAACTGAGACACCTTTGTAAAATAATTAAACTATCTACGTTTTGTAATATTCTCGACAGCCGAACTTACAAATACATATGCGATAATTAAACGTAATTTTGAACTTTATTCGATAAGAAACAATGATAAATGGCTCAATATCGCCATGCTTATGGATTTTAAAAAGCACTTGTAATCGTGGCAATATCTTTGAAGTTTCTAAACAACTTCATAAAATAAAAATACGCTGCAAAAATCAAAGAAATCTGACGATCTATTTTAATTGTAGATTTATTGGTAACTACTTTATCTTGTATTACCAATATAGCTGACATTTTCAGTTCATATAATGCATTTGATACCATACACCTGTGAACAACATCGTATTAATAATACAGATGCGCTGTAAAAATCTGACGATCTATTTAATGGTAGATTTAATAGTATTACGAATGA